AAAAAAATAAACGTTGACATTCTTTTTGACCACGTTTGTTTTACTACACAGTTTGTCTCTTACTCTCAGTTTTGAATTCGGGGGAAGGATTCCACATTCAAATTGTGAGTGTTCGCGCGAATTCAATTCAATTTTTTGGCGCGTTGCGTTTTGAGATGGGTTTACAGCTACTTTTTCAGGTATTTACTCTCCACCTGACCCAACGCCTACAAAATAACGGGAAGACCCCGGATGGTCTTTATTTTTTTCCTTGAAGGACCGTTTCGCATAAGTATTTGCAGTCCTTTTGTGTGCTTGTAAATGTCGAATTAGAAGTGCTTGACAGCTTTTTATGGGCTTCTACGTTTTACTTCTTTATATTGAAAGAATATTCATATAGCCCGTTGGTTAGTCGTTATGTGGTTTGTTCTTTCCTTTTGGGAGAAACGTCGTAGCTATAGTGCCTAATAGCTCATTCGGGCTTCCCGAGCAGTACTGGGTTAGATCTATCGCTCATCCAAGATTAGGCTTTTGACTGTTTGAAAATCTGGTGCAGAGCCTTCAAATTCCGATACCTGTACTTAATTAGTTGTGGTTTGGAGCTTCCGGTAAAGTTAGAACAAGTTGACTAAACACAGTTGCGTTTGAGAGAAGACGAAGGCTGATCGAGCACTACAACAATTTGTTTACGTTTCCGAGCCTCCGAAGTTATACTAGAATCTACTGCAGAGACAGTAGCAGCAACAGGCATTTGAATTCTTCAGTCTCTTTTAACTTTTTGTTTAGCATCGCGGAATTTGTTTATTAGTTCTTTTATGTTACAGACAAGTCGTTATACACATTTCAGAAATTAGTTTCAGACGTTTCTGTAGAGTTTCTGGCAAAGCGACGCTTTCCAGTATGATGCAAACGCTGTTTCCAACGAAAGTCCCCGCGCAAGAATTTTTAGAAAGTGTGACTTGGCATTAAAGGTCGTTGAAGCATAGATAAACAGGTGGTCGTAGGTCCGTAGTACCATAGCGTCGTATTAAGAGAATGAATTCTATTAACAGGCTTCCTTAAAGGACCATGCCGGAACGACCGAATTACAACCTGG